AGAAATATGGGCTAGCATAAAAAAGAGCAAATTTAAGAGTTATTGGGAAACAGAAAGGCATAGAGGTCCAAACCAAAGGAATGAACAATCTATTCAATGAAATAATATCAGAAAACTTTCCAAACATGAAGAATGAATTGGAAATGCAAATTCAAAAAGCCTACAGGATGCCAGATGTACAAAATCACAACAGACACTTACCAAGGCACATTATAATGAAAATGCCCAACATATAGAATAAGGAGAGAATTTTAAAAGCCACAAGAGAAAGGAATCAGATTGCATATAAGGGAAAACCAATTAAGATAATGTCAGATTTTTCAACACAGACCCTGAAAGCTAGAAGATCCTGGAACAACATATATCAGCTCTGAAAGATAATGGATGCCAACCAAGAATCTTGTATCCAGCAAAATTAAACTTTATATTTGAAGATGAAATAAAAACCTTCCACAATAAAAAAAAAATAAAAGAATTTATAGCTAGAAAACGGGCACTACAAAACATCCTTGGCAAAACATTTCATGAAGAGGAAATGCAAAACAGTAATGAAAATCATCAGAGGGAGGTAGTACAGTAAAGGAAAAACTAATCGAAGAGGAAAACTAATTCAAGTTAAATAACAAAAATAAACAAATATGGCTGGAAATACAAACCATGTCTCAATCGTAACCCTAAATGTTAATGGCTTAAACTCACCAATCAAAAGACAGGCTAGCAAATTGGATTAAAAAAAAGATCCAACAATATGCTGCCTCCAGGAGACTCATGTGATAGGAAAAGACATACACAGACTAAAGTTGAAAGGTTCCAAATAATCATACCACTCACATAGACTGTGAAAGCAAGCAGGGGTTTCCATACTCATATAAAATAAAGTAGACTTCAAGCCAAGGTTAATCAAAAGGGATAAAGATGGACATTACAAACTGCTCAAGGGAAGCATACACCAATAAGACATAACAATCATAAATATATATGTCCCAAACAATGGTGAAACTATGTTCATCAAACAAACTCTTCTCAAGTTCAAGAGTCAAATTGACCACAAAACAATAATCTTGGGTGACTTTAACACACCTCTCTAGCCACTAGATAGATCTTCCAAACAAAAGTTGAATAAAGAAACTACAGAACTCAATAATAACACAATTAATAACTTACACTTAACTGACATATATAGAATACTTCAACCTGCATCAAGCAGATACACTTTTTTCTCAGTAGCACATGGATCCTTCTCTAAAATAGACGATATCCTATGCCAAAAAGCAACTCTTAGCAAATACAAAAAAGTAGAGATACTACCATGCATTTTATCAGATCATAATGGAACGAAATTGTAAATCAATGACAAAATAAAACATAAAAATTTCTCCATCACCTGGAAACTAAACAAAATGATACTGAATGAACAATGGGTCACAGAAGACATCAAGGAGGAGATTAAAAAATTCCTAGAAGTAAATGAGAACATAGACACAACATATAGAAATCTCTGGGACACTGTGAAAGCAGTACTCAGAGGAAAAGTCATTGCATGGAGTTCATTCCTTAAAAGAAGAAAATGTCAACAAATAAATGACCTCACACTACATCTCAAAGCTCTAGAAAAAGAAGAACAAACCAGCAGCAAAAGCAGTAGAAGGCAATAAATAATTAAAATTAGAGCTGAAATCAATGAAATAGAAACAAAAGAAACAATTGAAAAAAATGACAAAACAAAAAGTTGGTTCTTTGAAAAAATAAATAAAATTGACAGACTCTTAGCCACTCTAATGAAGAGAAGGAAAGAGAGAACAAAAATTACCAGTATATGTGATGAAAAAGTTAATATCCAATGGATGTGTAACTGATGTGATTCTGCAATCTGTGTATGGGGTGAAGGTGGGAGTTCATAACCCACTTGAATCAAAGTGTGGAATATGATATGTCAAGAAATTTGTAATGTTTTGAACAACCCACAATAAAAAATTAAAAAAAAAAAAAAGAAAAAGTTAATATCACAACAGACACTACAGAAATACAGAGGATAATTAGAAATTATTTTGAAATCTTATACTCCAATAAGATAGAAGACATTGAAGGCATTGACAAATTTATTAAGTCATACAATTTGCCCAGATTGAGTCAGGAAGATATACACAATTTAAACAGACCAATATCAAGTGAGGACATAGAAGAAACCATAAAAAGCTTACCAACCAAGAAAAGTCCAGGACCAGATGGATACACAGCCAAATTCTACAAGATCTTTAAAGAAAAACCAATACAACTACTCTTCAATTTATTGCAGGAAAGAGAAAAAGAGGCAGTAATTCCAAACTCATTCTATGAGGCCAATATCACCCTGGTCTCAAAACCAGGCAAAGACACATCAAAGAAAGAAAACTTCAGACCAATATCTCTAATGAACATAGATGCAAAAATTTGATGTTTTTCTATTCGATTTGCAAAATCCTGGCAAATCGAATAGAAAAACATCAAAAAGATTGTGCACCATCATCAAGTGGATTCACCCTAGGGATACAAGGTTGGCTCATAATATGGAAATCAATAAATGTAATTCACCACATCAATAGACTTAAAGATAAGAAGCATGTGATCATCTCAATAGACACAGAAAAAGCATTTGACAAAATATAGCACTCCTTTATATTCAACATACTAGAAAAACTAGGGATAACAGGATCATATCTCAATATCGTAAAGGCTATCTACGCTAAGCCTCAGAACAACATCACTCTAAATGGAGAAAAATTGAAGGCATTCCCTCTAAAAACTGGAACAAGACAGAGATGCCCTCTTTCACCACTTCTATTCAACATAGTTCTTGAAACACTGGCCAGAGCAATTAGATGAAAGAAATCAAAGGGATATGTATAGGAAAAGAAGAACTTAAATTAGCACTATTTACTGATGATATGATTCTATACCTAGAAGGCCCAAAAAACTCCATCAGAAAACTTTTAGAACTAGTAAATGAATTCAGCAAAGTAGCAGGATATAAAATCAACATCCATAAATCAAAGGCATTTCTATATATCACTGACAATACTTCTGAGAAGGAAATGAGGAAAACTACCCCATTCACAATAACCTCAAATAAAAAAATAAGATATTTGGGAATCAACTTAATGAAAGAGGTGAAAGAGCTATACAAAGAAAACTACAGAACCCTAAAGAGAGAAATCAAAGAAGACCTTAGAAGATAGAAACATCTACCTCGCACTTGGATAGGCAGAATTAATATTATCAAAATGACCATAGTACCAAAAGCACTATACAGATTTAATGCAATTCTGAACAAAATCACAATGGAATTCCTAATAGAAATAGAAAAATAAATCATGAAATTCATCTGGAAAAATAAGAGATCCAGAATAGCTAAAGCAATCCTTAGCAGGAAGAGTGAAGCAGGTGGAATCACTATACCAGACCTTAAACTATACTACAGGGCAATAGTAACAAAACAGCATGGTACTGGCACCAAAATAGACTGGTAGACCAATGTTACAGAATAGAGGACACAGAAATTAACCCCAAAATTACAATTATCTTATATTAGACAAAGGTACCAAAAACATGCATTGGAGAAAAGATAGCCTCTTCAACAAATGGTGCTGGGAAAACTGGAAATCCATTTGCAGTTTTAATGAAATTAAACCCCTATCTCTCACCATGCACAAAACTTAATTCAAAATGGATCAAGGACCTAGGAATTAAACCAGAGACTCTGCGTCTAATAGAAGAAAAAGTAGGCTCTAATCTTCATCATGTGGGATTACGGCCCAACTTCCTTAATAAGACTCCTATAGCACAAGAATTAAAACCAAGAATCAATAAATAGGATGGAATCAAACTAAAAAATTTCTTCTCAGCAAAAGCAACAATCTGTGAGGTGAACAGAGAAGCCTACATCCTGGGAGCAAATTTTTACCCCTCATACATCAGATACAGCACTATTCTCTAGGATATATAAAGAACTCAAAAAGCTAAGCACCAAAAAAAAAAAACAAACAAATAACCCAATCAACAAATGGGCCAAGGACCTGAACAGACACTTCTCAGAAGAGGACATACAATCAATCAACAAATATATGAAAAAATGCTCATCATCTCTAGCAATCAGAGTAATGCAAATCAAAATTACTCTAAGATATCATCTCACACCAGTTGGAATGGCAACTATTATGAAGACAAATAACAATAAGTGTTGGTGAGGAGGTGGGGGAAAAGGTACACTCATACATTGCTGGTGGAACTGCAAATTGGTGCAGCCAATATGGAAAGCAGTATGGAGATTCCTTGGAAATCTGGGAATGGAATCATCATTTGACCCAGCTATCCCACTCCTCAGACTATACCCAAAGAACTTAAAAATAGCATACTACAGGGACAGAGCCACATCAATGTTTATAGCAACTCAATTCACAATAGCTAAACTGTGGAGTCAACCTAGATACTCTTCAGTGGATGAATGGATAAAAATAATGTGGCATATATACACAATGGAATTTTACTCAGCAATAAAAGAGAATAAAATCATGGCATTTGCAGGTAAATGGATGGCATTGGAGAAGATAATGCTAAGTGAAGTTAGCCAATCCCCCCCAAAAAACCAATGCCGAATGTTTTCTCTGATATTGGGAGGCTGACTCATAATGGGGAAGAGAGGGGGAACATGGGACACATAGATGAATCCTAGATAGGGAAGAGGGGAGGGAGGGGAAGGGAGGAAGAAGGAGATTAGCAAGGATGGTGGAATGTGATGGACATCATTATCCAAAGTGCATGTATGAAGACATGAATTGGGTGTATACAAACAGAGATTTGAAAAAAATGTGGTGATTATGTATAATAAGAATTGTAATGCAACAAAAGTACATGTATATAGACATAAAATGGCGTGAACATACTTTATACAAAGGTATGAAAATTTGTGCTCTATATGTGTAATAAGAATTGTAATACACTCCGCTGTTGTGTATTTAAAAAAAAAAAAAAAGTAAAATCAATAAAAAGTAAAAAAAAAATCCATCAGCTGGCACAGTGCATGCTGGCCTTGAATTCAGTGCTATTCCAACACTGTCTTTCCAGGTGCCCTTGAGGCACAGTGGAGGGGAGGGGAGCTATGTCCCCACCACATAAAGGGACAGAGCAGAGAGTCCTATTTTGCTTGCCGGTCCTGTTTCCATGCAACTGCCACTTTCCATACAGAGACGCAGCTGGACAGCAGTATCTCTTCTGGGAACTGGGATTCCATTTCTGGAAGAACTTCACTCTCTTTGGTTTCCATGTAACTCATCAGAGTGTCCCTCAGGCTGAAAAATCAGGCACAAGAGACAGTGTTTAGAGTATTCAGGAGCCTATCAGCTCTCATTCTTTATAGGACTGGGGTGCTAAGACCAAAAATACTTAGGGTCAGCTTCAGGTCAGCCAGCTGCCCAGTTCCTGAGCTGGACTCGGAGTCCTAGGCTCAGGGCTTCTGGGGGGTGGAGCTTCCTCGATGATGCTCAGCTAGGCCATTTCAGGCACTCCACTGATGGGCCTGTCTGGCTGCATCAGAAACAAAGCTTTGCCACTCAGAAAAAGGAAAGTGTTCCCTCTCATGGTTTATCTTACCAAAGGTTGCAAATTCTCTAGAAAGGGGAACTTTACTGTACAGGCATGTGCCATGCGGCCTGAGGGCAGAAACAGCAAATGTAGCCTGACTGTCCATCCAGAAAGCCAGCCAAGTGAAATACCTGCCTCATAGCACACACAAAAGTGAACTGACTAATGAAAGAAATGTGCAATGTAGAACTGTAAAAGCAGCAGGAGAAAACAGTATGGCTTAGCACCCTGGGAAGTGATAAGGAAGTATGTCCCTGTGGCAGCTTTTTGGGAGGGCAGGGGAAGTACTGGGGATTAAACCCAGGGGTGCTTAGCCACTGTGCCACATCCCCACCCACCCCTCACACTTTAAAAGAAATATATTTTTAGTTGTAGATAAAAGCAATAGCTTTATTTTGTTTATTTATATGTGATGCTAAGGAGCGACCCCAGTGCCCCACACATGCTAGGCAAGTGCTCCACCACTGAGCCACAATCCCAGCCACATCTCCACCCCTTTTCAATATTTTATTTAGAGATAGGGCCTTGCTGAGTTGCTGAGGCTGGCTTTGAACTTAAAATCCTCCTGAGCTCCTAAGATTACAGACACGCACCACTGCACCCAGCCCCACAGAGGCTTTACGAAAAAATCCTATCAATTGACTTCTTACTTCTATCAATCGTAACATGTAGATCAAAGGAAATAATCTATTCTATACAAACAGCTTTTTACAAATCATTAAAAAAGAGATAAAGGGGCTGGGTAGAGCACTCACCTGGGTTTGATTCTCAGCACCACATGTAAATAAATAAAACAAACACACTGTGTCCATCTACAACTAAAAATAAATATTTTTTAAAAAGAGTGAGATAAGGGCTGGAGTTGTGGCTCGGTGATAGAGTGCTTGCCTCGCATGCATGAGGCCCTGAGTTTGATTCTTAACACCATATAAGAATAAATAATGCAATCGGTATACGGGGTAAAAATGGGAGTTCATAACCCACTTGAATCAAATGTATGAAATATGATATGTCAAGAGCTTTGTAATGTTTTGAACAACCAATAAAAAAATAATAAATAAATAAAGATATTGTGTCCATCTACAACTAACAAATATTTTTTTTAAAGGGATAAACTGGTTAGGGGCGGTGGCATATGCCTGCAATCCCAGCAACTCAGGAGGCTAAGGTAGGAGGATCACATAGTTGAGACCAGCCTTAGCAATGATGAGGTCCTATCTCAAATTAAAAAATAAAAAGACCTGGGGATGCAGCTCAGTAGCTAAGTAACCATGGGTTCAATCTCTGGCACTAAAAAAAAGAAAGAACAAAAAAACAGATCAAGTGCCCTGCCCAATAACCAGAAGCTACCAAGAGCTATTTCAGAGGATGATAAACAAATGGTGATAGATTTAAAAATGTGCCCAGCCACAGAAGTAGGTAGGAAAACAAGTGAAAACAAGACACCATTTTTTGGCCATTAGATTGACACAAATGTAAAATTCACATAATTTTGGATATTTCAGATTTCACACATTGGTGTAGCTTAATCTACCTAATCTAAAATGCACACTTCTTTGACATAGTTAGGTCTACTTGTTATAATGAGCATATATGATTTCATAGTTATCTTTTTAGAAGTCCCCAAAAGATTAAAATCAAAGAAATAAGTTTTCAGTTGCTCTGGTGATGGAGAACAGTAGACAGAGGGTCCTGTGGTAAGGTGGAACTACCTTCATGTCAAGGGAGATGCCAAACATTCTCGGTGTGCACACCCTACCTCCATTCAGGGTTGAAGCTCTCCTGGGTCTGGGTGTTTCTTAGTTTCAACACCATCAGCTCATGGAGCTCCATGAGGAAAGCATCTAGGTCTGTGTGATTCAGGAAGGTGCTGAGGAGCTTAGCAATTTCTGGGCTGAGGTCTGCTTTGTACCTAGAACTGATTTCCCAAAAGGGATCCTAAAAAAGATGAACAAGTACAACATCAAAGCCTGGGACCAGTGTGCGGCACCCTCAGTCTGGGCAGAGGCAGGGCAGACTCACTTTCTTCAGTCGCAGCAGCTGTTCCGACTTATGAGCAGAGAGGAACTGCCAGAGGGCAACAGCATGTTTTAACTGACATCTGCTTAAAGCCTGGAGAAGGAAGAGAGTCCCAAGTAGGAGTGAAGGCTCACTGAGTGGTACCCAAGGGCACTGCTCCCTAATTTTGTCTATTTTCTTCATGAGGCCATCTCTGTTCCATCCTCGAGTCTACCTGCCTCATCTTGGAAACATCTGAGAGTCTCCCCCTCCTGCAGCAGCTTGTAACTGTGAGTATCATACACTGAGCAGGTAGTCAATGTCCTCAGTCACCTGTGCATCCTGCTCTACTAGGTGGTCAGCACTGAGCGTCCCTGCCTCTCCTGTCCCCAGTGTGCACTGAAATCCTGTGGACTGGTGAGGGGTGGGGTTCCTGACCACCCCTTTCCACAGATGCCTGCACCAGGCTCCTGCGTGGTGGCATTCTGGCAGGAAACTAAGACGAGGTGACGCTGATTCTCCTTGAAAAGCACACAAGACCTACCTTTAAAACCGGAGTTGTTTGGTGGCTCATTCGCAGGATGTCTTGGACATACACATTTAGGTGCATATTTGGATCCCCACCAGCTGTGCCTAGAAAGCCCAGAGTGACCTCTATGATAGAGAGTGCTTCACAGACATCGCTGTAGGACCGAAGCTCTCCACTGATGGCACCCATGGCCGACTTGGGGAGGGGGCTCTGAAACCAAAATCAGGACAGAGTCTTGGGTCAGCTATTGCTTCTCCTGCTTGGTAAGAGCCTGACTGTGAGCTGCCAGCACAGGCGGGGCCAGCTATCCAGCACTTGTGGTAAGAGCTGATCCCTGTGCTTGAGCTGATGCTGAGGGCCTCAGCCTTTCAGACTTTGCACAGAAATGGGCCCAAGTTAACTGAATCCTCCACATGATCCATGAGGACACGGAGAGGCACAAGAGCCTCTCCACTTGTCGGTAGCAGAACCTAAGGAGCAGGAGTAACCTTTAGCACCTGAAGCAGCTGCTGATCTGCTGCTGGACATTGATATCTGGTCATGATATCATCATTGAGAAAACAACCCCCAAGGGGTTGGTCTGTTCTCATCAAGAAAGTTTGGTGATCTGCCATCCTGCTTGCCTCTCTGAGCTCTGGGCTCCCTAAGCTCCTCAGGGAGCCAGAAAGCCTGGTGCTCACAGCAGACACCAGGAGGAGATCGTACTGTCCTTACGTATGTGGATGGAACAACCCTGCAAGTGAGGGTTTATCACGACCACCTGTGCCATTTTGTTCTTGATGTCCACAAAGAGATGTTCGAAGTTCCAGTCATGTCTATAGACCAGCGTGGGTATCCCCTAAGTGAGAAAGAAAAAAAAGTTTTTGGAAATTAAAATAGAGGAGGCTTCCATCTGATGACAGATGTATTCTTCAGCAGTGACTCAGTGGAAGTACCAAGCCGGACAGTATATTCCTGGGCAAGGCATGTAACTTTGTTGTGTTCTGATGACTGTTCCACCCGTACTCTTTGGACACAGTAACACAAGAAATCCAGCCTGGCTACAGTGACCTTGCAGATATTGCCCTGTAGAACAGTGTATCTGCCGACCACAAGAGAGGAAGAGCGCTGGAGGAACAGGAATGGGAATGTGCGCATTTGTGATCTATCCAGCAACACTGAGCAGAGACTGTGCACAAGGCAGCCACTGTCAGGATGAATTAAAAATGGCTTTAGGCTCAAACAACTGACAGGCTGACTACAATGAAGGAATAAATACATCTGAGAATGACACCTGACTGGACCTGGAAGGATGAGTGCAGCCACGGTAAGGGACAGTACAGAAATGCCACTGTGTTCAGGGAGTCGGGAGGCAGTTCACAGGGTTTGATGCAGAAAGGAAGGAAAGGGCTGGAGACACCTGGAAGGTCGAGCTAGGGCCAGGTGACAGGGCCTCTGTGCCAGATGGGGGAGTGTGGTGGAGGCCATGTAACACTGTCCACATGCTGTGGACTGGCTGGGGGTGAGGGTTCCTGACCGCCCATTTCCAGGGGTGCCTGCACTGATGCTCCCCGCATGGGGGCATTCTGGCAGGAGACGAAGATGAAGTGGTGCTGCTGGCACTGGGCAGCTGGACTGACGGCTGAATGCTCTGAAGTGAAGCCAAGGCCATGGCAGTTAGAGGACGAGGCAATGGGGAAGTTCTGCGTGGTGGTTCCTGGGCACGGACTGCATATGCAACTGAAGGGGGGGCAGCAGTGAGGTCTTCTTGGTGGTGCCATTAACTGTGGTGGAAACCCAGTCCACTGAGACTTGAGGCTGCCCTGGAGGACAGGTGCAGATAGTGATGGTGATACGGAAGAGAGCTGGTCTGTGGTCCCTATGCCTCCCGGCCCAGAGAAGGCATAGGGACCACAGATCACTAGTGGGGAGGAGATAACACAGACAAGATCCTGGGTGTCACTTGTCTGTTCCCCCTGAAACTCACAAGGGCTGTTCATAACTACAGCAAATCATTGGCAGAGGGCCCAGCCTACCTTGAGGGTCAGCCTGGGCTTGCCCTGGAGGAAGTGGCTGCTGATCTGCCGCTGGATCTTCTCCAGGTCAAATTCCTGTGAGGTCTCCCCACCTTGCTCCACTTGATACTGGCAGTTGGAGAGAATCAGAGGCATCAGGTCCCGCTCCACTTCGTAACTGACAACATGCAGGTCAGTGACCTCTGAGGCATCCACGGAATAGCTGAGGGACACAAGATACAGGTCTTGGTGTCCAGAGCAGGTGTGTGAGGCCTAGGGCTTTGGGGCATATGCTCCTGCTTCTGCCCTTATAGTGTAAGCAAGTGAAAACCATGTGCAAATACGGGGCTTTATTGAGGAAGGCTGAGAGAGGATCTAGGGGACAGGAGCTTTTGCTGGCTAGAGTCTGCAGCCCATCTTGGTGGCAGGGGTGGTGAGTTTACGCGGTACCTGTTGTTTTCCTTGGAGAACTTCTCCATCGTGTAGATGATTTCATTATGTAGATTAATCAAGTAGCTGACTAATGCAGTTGAGCAGAGGCCCAGGCCCCGACGTCGGGGCAGGATGACCTTAAAATCTGTGTCCAGATCCAACTCAGAGTTGTAGTAGCCTTTAGGTAACTTGATTTCACCTTTAAAAGACAGGGTCATTACTAAGCAAAGGGATGTTGCTCCAGGCGTTTGTCTGGAGGCAGGGGAAGAGAAGGGCAGCCACGGGCAGCCACGGGCAGCCACGGGCAGCCACGTCCAAAGATCTAGGCCCTGGCTGTTAAGTTTCTAGTGCCCCCAACTCCTTTCTGATTCCATATTTATAGACTAAAGATGACTGAGGGTGACTTTGGAGGTTGATTCAGGTATTCCAGCACAAAAATCCATCAACAGGTTGCGTTGCCACACACACATCAGGGTGCTGGCAGAGCCACGTGGAGGAGGACACTTACCGTTGGTCTCCAGTGACCGCCTCAGGGCATTCCACGTGGACAGGAAGGTGGTGATCCTGTTGTGGAACAGCTGCCTCAGCCCCTCTGTTGAACACAACACCTGGTAAGACCCCATGGAAACAACCCCTACCACTACCCTGGCCAGGGTCAGACCACAAGGCGTGCTCCCAAGAACCTGACCCTGAACCTTCCCTCACTCAGCAAGCAGCATGCCTGAGTTTCAAGTTTTAGGCTGTATGAGAAGCTGGAGAGGCTGAGGGCTTTCTAGCCACAGCAGTGGCTCATGGCCATCTCTGTGATTTGGCATCCTTTGCCTCTTTCGCTACCTTAGGACCTGAGCCCCACCCTCATGTCCCAGCCTGAATGATCCTTTTGAACCACCAAACATGGATGGTCCTGACCTTTGGTTGCAGCAGACAGCAGTCATACCTGAACTGTGACTGCTAATAAAACTCCTGATGGAACAGGGATATTCATCTTCTGGAACATTCTGGAATTGTTTCACTAGATCCCTTTGCAGGGCCAAAATCTCAGGTAAGAATTTCACCAGTCTCAGTTTTGCCTCCTGGAGAAGAGAAGATGGCTCAGTAACACTTCCTCTATTTAATTGAGAAACAACATGGGGTGTATAGATTTTAGGGCAGGCTGGGGACTTTCTGTGTAGTTTAATTTGGTCAGTGGGTTGTTTTACATGATTATACCCTGAAGCTTGCAAGTGGGAAAGGGGTCATCCCATCCTTTCACCAAGTGGTAAGGGATGTAGGATGAACTGGATCAAGTCCCCGCCCTCCTCTAATGAAAAGCTGCCTCAAGGACTGAGCTGGGCCCCATCTCTCAGTTTGCACAAGAATCAACTCTAGATGACCAAAGACCCAGATGTAAGACTTGACCTCTGAAGCTATCAGCAGAAAAACAGGGGAAACACTCCAAGACATTGGTACAGGTGATGGGTTTCTGGATAGGACCCCCAAATCAAAGGAAGTAAGAGCAAAATGACAAATGGGATCACATCAAATTAAAAAGTTTCTGCACAGCAAAGGAAACAACCAACAGAGTGAAGGGACAACCTACAGAATGGGAGAAATAGCTGCCAACTCTTCACCTGACAACAGGCAAATACCCAGAATATATAACTCAAAATTTTTTAAAAATCAAAGTAATCCAATTTAAACATGAGCAAATGATCTGAATAGACAATTCTCAAAAGAAGAAATATAAGTGGTTAACAAATATATGAAAAAATGCTCAATATAATAGCCATCAAGGAAATGCAAATCAAAACTACAATGAGATGCCATCCTACCATAGTTAGAATGACTCTTATTAAAAAAAATAATAAAGTAGGTGTGTAATCCCAGCTACTTGGGAGCCTTAGGCAGGAGGATCACAAGTTTAAGGCCAGCCTCAGCAAGTTCTAAGTTAGTCTAGGCAATTTAGTGAGACCTTGTCTTAAAAAAAAAAAAAAGCAGGAAAGGGGGGCTGTCGCTCAGAAGTAGAGCATTGCTTGCTTGCTTAGGAAGCCCAAGAAGGCCCTGGGTTCCATTGCCACTAGTCCCCCACACCTAAAAATAGATGAACCCAAACATAAAATAATAAATGCTAGCATAGATGAAGAGAAAAAGGAAATCTAATATATTTCTGGTACAACTGTTTTTTTAATGGTTATCAAAAGGGGATTTATTAGAATGTCTTATACAACCAAAAGCTGGGTAGTCCACAATGGCCATCTGCAGGCTGGGGAGCTGGAGGAACCATTGCAGTCCAAGAAGCAGAAGCCTCAGAACAAGAGGGATTGATGTTGCTACCACAGTCCAGTACCAAAGACTTCTGGAAACTACCTGGACAATCAATCACTGGCAGAGTCCACTGTGGAAGAGTGAAGGAGCGAGAGTCTGATATCCTCAGGTGATCACAGCAGCAATCAAGAAACCATTCAAGAAGAATGGAGCTTGCATCTGCTGCGGCTTTCTCATTCTTCCAACTTTTATTCCATCCAAGACACCATACTGTTGGATGGTGCTGTTCATGCTTAGGGTACAACTGTTAATTAATACCTCATAATAGAGAACAGTATGGAGGTTCATCAAACTAAAAAAAGATCTACCATGTGATCCAACTATCCTACTCCAAAGGAAATCAGGTATCAAAGAGGTACTGCATGCTCATGTTTATGTGGCACCATTCACAATAAGACACAGAATCAGCCTAGAGGCTATCAGCAGATGAATGCATAAAGAAGATGTGCTTTAAATACATAATAGAATATGATTCAGCTATAAGAAAAATGAACTCCTGTCATTTTCAGCAAAATGGATAGAACCAGATGATATTATGTTAAGTGAAACAAGCCAGACACAAAGACAAGATGAATGCATGCTATATGCATACATGGAAATTTCACACCGATTCCCATTATGTATACAACTAATGAATTAATAAAAATAAGTAATTTGAGAAAAATTTTTTTAAAAATTGACTCTTGGGCCCACGGTTGGGTGTGAGGCTGCTGAAAGGAAAGACCAAGGGCTACTGCAGTGGTAGCTGATGTGATTTTGGGTTTTGTTCTGAAGGGCCAGGATCCAGCACCCTCACTCAAATAAGACCGTGTCTTACTAAGAGATCACAACACTAACATGGAGTCCTTCCTAGTGTGAGTACCAGACATTCCCCAATCATTCTGTTCCCTGCCAGCTGTGGTACTGGTCCATGAAGGAGGTGGTGTGAACCTCTACTGTGGCCCAGGAGAGCTCAAGTGGGCGAAAGCTGGGGATGGTTTCTGGGTCTGCAGCCCCATCATGCAGCACACTGCCTTCCACCTGCAGGGCACAGGGAGGGCTCTGGTTTGGTTTTGGTGTGCATTCTTTGTTTTTAATATTTTTTAATTGTAGTTGGACACAATACCTTTATTTTATTTATTCATTTTTATGTGGTGCTGAGGATTGAACCCAGTGCCTCGCACGTGCTAGGAGAGAGCTCTATGGCTCAGCCACAACCCCAGCCCCTTGGTGTACATTTTTGACTGTTCAGCAGGCACTTGCTGGTGACCACCTACTCAGCTTCTGGGGATGAACACAAGGTATCACAGTCGAGTAACCAGGGTGGTCTCTCCTGGCCTTCCTTAGAGATCACTGCTAACCTCACTGTGCACTAGGTAATGTGCATATTACTCCTGTGACTTCAGCAGATGTGTCTTAAGATCTCTGCGCTCTTCCCTAAGACTCCTGATACAGGCCTTGCATTCAGAATCACAGTGCTGATGGGGTTGCTTAGGATTCTGCCTCTAGAAATGATGACTTTGAACCCAGGCACAGAGCCTCCCATTCCTCAGGGGAAGTCTACCAGGAAAAGGGGGCAGCCCATGAAGCAGACACACCTTCTGCAGGAACTGCCAGAGCACGGGCACCATCTCCTTGCCGTTCTTCTGCTCCACAACGTGCTGGAGGTACTCGACTGTGATCTTCTTCCTGCAGCTCCAAATCTTTGAGCAATGAGCCTCACTTTTCTGGGGCAGCTGGGGCAAGAAGCTTGCAGGGTCACCATATATGATTCTGGCCACAGGGCTAGAGCTGATGCGCTCATCCTGGCTGATGAGTGTGCTCACAGTCAGCAGGGTCTTATCTAGATGCTGGATAAAGAAATGACACAGCATTCTGCAAGTGAGACATTGTCACAGACAACCAGGCAGCTCTTGGACCCATGGTAGCTCCTTAGGAATCTGCCTGCACAACCCAGATGCTTGCTTTTGCCATCTTTCACTGATTGGGGGGTTCCTTATTCATAGGGTTTTTGCCTCCACAAACAGAGTGAGACTCGGGGCCTTTATTTCACTGCCCTTTTGCTTCCTGACTTCCCTGTCCTGCTGTGGATAGTCAGCTCTATGATGTTCTCAGCAGAGCAGTCATGAATCCAGAGAGATTGTTGATGCATTTCTGGAGTGTCTCTGCCTCTTACTTTCACATCCTGCTATAAAAAGCAGTGGAGCAGGCTGCCATCTGCCCTATGGGAACTCCTGATAATCCTTGGCCTTACTTAAGACTAGTGCAGGAAGGGGAAAGCAGAAGGAGGGGGATAGCAGAAGGAGGGGTTTCTCCAGGTAAGGCCTCTGACAGCCCTCCTGAGGACAGTGGGCCAACAGTGCTCACAGATGAATGGGACCCCCTCCTGGAGAGAGGGCTAAGGAGTGGTCACCACTCACCACTTACCTCCAGTTCAGGTAGAAGAAGAGCTTCGACATGTTTTTCCCAATTGTTTCTATGTCCTTTTTTGGACAATTTTGCATCAAAATTTAAATGTCCTACAAAAAAAATCAAAATGTGTCTGTTACCCAAGAAACAAAAAGCAGTGCTCTCTATACAGTAAACACTGAATAATGTTAATAGAGATAGTCCCCCTTTTGGGGTGATAACTTCCTAAGTTCACCAGCCTCCAGGCCTTGTGAAGACACTTTAGTCTTCTGACAACCCTCCAGGCCACAGCTGTGGCCTTGAAAGTATTTTAAACAAATGGCTAAGAACTCAAAAGCCTAGGGGCACAGCAATGCTGACAGCTACCCAGAGCCACCTCACTGCTGCCCCCAGGCCTGTAGACAAAGGTGGTCCTGGGGAGCTGGCAGCAGGTTAGGGCTCCCGAGTCCATGTGCTGTGGAAGCCACACCAGAACAAGAGGTGCTCGGCAAAATCAGTGTTGCTAAGATGGGAAGGACATGCTAATGCTGGTTTCTGATGAAGACACCCCTGAAGTGGAACAGATTCTCCGGTGGTGGTAACAGACATTTTATTGCTACTGTTATTATCTGTATGCTTTTAAATAACATTGTTCTACAATGGTACAATGATTGTTTTAAAAGATTTTTGCAAGTAAGCAAGAAGAAACTGAAATCCCTTCTAATGCCACTCAGATAACCACTTACAGAGTCCCCTCACAGACCTTTGCTTTTGGCCTGGATTTAAATGTTTAGAGTAGAAGAGTTAGCTCAGCAGACAGTGTTTTGTAGCTTCCTTTGTTTATGTAACAAATTGTGTACATGTACATATTAGGTCAGGGTACAAGTGTGACATCTCTGGAAAGCAGAAGTGGGACATGTCACCTGCTGGGGTGCCACGTGCTCCCAGGGCACAGGTTAATGGTGCATGCACAAGCACCAGGTATCAGTGCTGCAGGCCCCAGCCAGGCAGGTGGTGTGTGGAGGAGCGCAGCAGCCCCTCCAGCCCCCGCAAGGAGAGCAGAGCGCTTGCTCCCACTCCTGTCATGCCATTCACCAGGAGCTGAGGGAGCCTGGCCTCCTGGCAGTTATGCCCAGCCCACATCCCTTGCTTACTCCAGTCAGGGAGTGGGTGCTGCTCTTTGAGAAGGCAGCGCAGCATGAGGTGGACCACATGGGTGGTCTCGTCGGCACTCTTCCCCAGCATCTTTGTCAACTGCTCCAAGTCTCTCCGGATGTGCTGCTGCAGGAATCCTTTTGGGTCACTCACTGGAGGCTTGATGATATTTATCACAGCCTGTGAGGGCAACGAGACAAGACGTGTAGTGAGATCAGTGTGTAGAGGACACAGTGAGAAGCCAAGGGAGCGAAGCACCAGCACTGGGGAGAGGGGGGTTTCTAGGTGAGGTCAGGGTGCTCTCAGCATGACGCAGGCAGCAGAGGAAGGGAGGCAGGTGAGTAGAGCCAGAGATTGCTGGCTCTGATGTCATCCCAGTGCAGCAGGGAATGCTGCCCTGCACCTCCTGCAGCCACCACAAGGGTTTAGGTGACAGGGTCCCACCACCTCCCCATGACCAGGTGTGGGCATGGACAGAGTTGTATACTCTGAGTAGACTTTATGATCTGATTGTTGCACCTTGTATACACATGCTAAGATGTCACACTGTAACAAACGTGTAATTGTTTTGTGTCAGTTAAAACAGATTTTAAAAATTAAAAAAAATGAAGAGGATTTTCCATAATCTGAGGAGTGGTTCCCCCATTGCATCATATGCCCCAGAGGGAAAAGTAGGATCTATAACTTTTGCATTACCCTGTGGACTAGATAAAATCCCTAGGTGGCTAGGACTTTGTAGACAAAAGGACTGGATGCAAACACAGCAGGTTCTTCCTATAGCAACATAAGAGAGTCTAGCGGTAGCATCTTATACCTCGGGATTTTGAGTGGCTCCCAAAAGCATAGCCAGATGAGTGAGTAGGCGCATGAGAATGAAGATGACTGGGGACAGCTCTCGGTCAGACACTACTACGACATCTCTGGGTTGCGGGTGGCCCAGCACATGGCCAGTCTTGGTTCTGTCTGTGCTGTCTCTAGAAAGGATGAGAGGAAACAGGGTGAAGACTAGAGATGTCTGTTTCTCCTCAGCTCCAGGGGCCTCACATCTTAATGACTAGGTTCCCAGTTTTTTTTTTTCTTGTTTTTTTGGTTTTGGTAATGGTAATGGGGATTGAACCCAGGGGCTCAACCATTGAGCCACATTCCCAGCCCCCACTTTTTTGGGGGCACTAGACAATTGAGCCACATTCCCAGCCCTATTTGGTATTCTATTTAGACAGACAGGGTTTCTCAGTGCCTTGCTTTTGCTGAGGCTGGCTTTGAACTCACAATCCTCCTATCTCAGCCTCCCGAATTACTGGGATGATAGGTGTGCATCACCACACCCAGCTAGGTTTCAAGCTTTGAAGAAAACACTAAAAGAACCAATTATTCCAAGGCTAGACCACCTGCCTCCACATCCTTCTCTCTTTAGACCCACCCAGCTGGATGGCCAAACTCTGCAACTTTCCCAATGTTAAATGGCTGCACAATGTGGCCATTAGTGCAGGGTGTCAGGATGGAGACCAACACCTTCCTCATGACAGCAAGTTTGGGGCATTTTTGCATCCATGTGGGGATTGTCTACATAATTCTCAATTTTCCCAAATCAAAGACTGGGATATACAGCCTGGAAAAAGTTTTCAAGATTCAAGGACATTGATGATTTCAGAAGATAAGAGTCTAGACTACTTTAAGCTTTGTAACAGAAAAGCCAGATAAACGGTGAGGTAGAAGGTCCTGCATGTCATCTTAAGGGAGCTCTGACAGCCACACTCATCTCAGGATCAAGCATGGGACTGTGAGATCAGATTTTTATTTATTGTTTTCAGTTCTGGGAATTGAGTGGGGGCTTCACATGTGCTAAGAAAGTACCCTACTTTTGAGCTACACCCCAAGTCCTTTCTATTTTTATTTTAAGACAGGGTCTCACAAGGTTTTCTGAGCTGGCTTCAAACTTTCAATCCTCCTGCCTCAGCCTCCTGAGTAGCTGGGATTACAAGTGTGCACCAATCTTCCTGGCTGAAGGTCAGATTTTTATCTAGTTTCTGAATCTGGTACAGTTAGCCTTATGTATCTGCAGTTCTGCGCCTGTGAATTCAACCAACTATGAATCAAAAATATTCAGAAAGAACTGTGTACTGAAGAGTAGCTTTCTTTTCTTGTCACTATTTCCTAAAAATATGATAAATGAGTATTTACATAGCATTCAATTTGCATAAAGTATAATAAGAAACCTAGAGATGATTTTTTAAAAGTCTATGGGAGGGCTGGGGATGTGGCTCAAGCGGTAGCATGCTCGCCTGGCACGCGCGCCTCGCTGGGTTCAATCCTCAGCACCATATACAAATAAAGATGTTGTGTCCACAGAAAACTAAAAAATAAATATTAAAACATTCTCTCTCTCTCTCTCTCTCTCTCTCTCTCTCTCTCTCTCTCTCTCTCCCCCTCTCTCTCTTTTAAAAAAAAGTCTATGAGAGGCCAAGTACAGTGGTGCACACCTGTAATTCCAGTGACTTGGGAGGCTGAGGTAGGAGGTTCACAAGTTCAAACCCAGCCTCAGCATCTTAGTGAGACTCTATGCAACTTAGCAAGACCCTGTCTTTAAATAAAATATAAAAAGGGCTGGTGTTGTGGCTCAGTGCTTAAGAACCTTAGGCTCAATCCCCAGTACCATTAAAAAAAAAAAGAAAAAAAAACTGGTTTACAGGAGGATATTTGTAGGCCACAAGCAAACACTGTGCCATGACATATAAAGGAACTGAACATCTGGACCTGAGTATCTATGGAGGAAAGTGTCCTGGAAACAAGTCTCCACAGATACGGAGGAATGGCTGTAGTTAATATGACTGATTACAGGGCTCGAGCTGGGGCTCAGTGGCCGAGTGCTGGCCTAGCACATGTAAGGCACTAGGTTCAACCTTAGTACCGCATAAAAATAAATAAAATAGTACACGTATGAAGACACGAAGGATGGGGCTCTACTTTGTGTACAGCCAGAGATATGAAAAATTGTGTTCTATATGTGAAAAAAAGAAAAAATAAAGACACGCTATCCATCTACAACTCAAAAAGTTTTTAAAAAACACTGATCATGTCTGTCTTTCACTTTTCTCAAATTGAAAAAACAAAACAGGGAAGGGGTGCAACTCAATGGCAGAGCTCTTGCCTAGGATGTGTGAGGCCCCGGGTCCCATCCCCAGTACCACAAAAATAAAACAAAGCAAAGAAACAAAAAAGCTTCAGCACTACGTGACTACAGGTGTGCTTGACGTGGATCCCCAACATGACACAGTCCAGATGTAGAACAGTGGTGTTAGTGACCCTATAGCTCATATGATTCATCTGCTGGAATGGACAGCCCAGAGCCTCAGGCTCCAAGGGACGGAAGCTGAGTCCACATACCTGATACTCTGGAAGCCGGCATGAGGTCTGTGGTTGATACCTCCTATGTTAGCACCACAGTCAACACAGAAGCTCTGCTCCATCGGCTTGCCACACTGGGACATAGAGGGGACACACAGTCAGCACTGCATCCAGCATTGGTACATGTGCAGAAGCCACCCTGCATAGGAGGTGGTGTGTGCCACAGACTGCATCTGGTGCATGTGTGTGTTAGGGAGGAGCAGGAGCCCTGGGGAGAGGGTGGGCACTTAACCACATATACTGTCCATGGGCAAAGGTGGCTTCATTTTCCAAAAATAAAGTTTTTTACTCCCAAGTAGAGTGACTAGTGTGTATAGCCCCATCTTCCTTTCTCCTATTCACCGCCTTCTCCTTCCCTGTGACTAGCATGCCAGCCTCTAGAGCATCGTTATCTAACACCAGGAATGATGGTGTTAATAACTTCTAAGCAGACCTCCTCACATCCACTGGACAAAAACAAACAAACAAAAAAACCCAACCATAAGATTTGCCACCACTAATGGTCCCAGGTTTCCAAGTCAAATGGCACCCCACTGCATGCTGTGAGTCACAGCCACAGCAGGCCCCTCCAGCTGCAGCGCTCAGACCACAGAACTCAGTGATAAGAGGGGCCCTGGAATCTCTTCTTATTTCACTCCTCGGACAAGGAAACAAGTGGGAGTCAGGAAGGTGAAGTCACATCAGGGAGCATCCTGTTCACTTTAGGGAGCAGCACACATAAGTCTAGTCCAGCAGCATGTTGCTCAGCAAGTGCAGATGCCATGAGCAGCTCGGGAGATGCCCTGGAGTCCCAGATGAGCAGCATGTGCTTGTCTCCCAGGGCTCATCACCCATAAGTCTTTCCTGTCCTCTGGTATCTAGCCCACATTCCTCTCTGACCAGTGAACCAGCTGAAGGTCTGTGTGGCTGAGCCCTGCTGCAGGGCCAGGGAGGGGGGTGGGGCTCCCAGCCAGCAGCACCATGGCGTCCCAGGAGACTTGGGCAGTGCCTGCAGACATTCTCGGGCATCACACTGGGCTAGGGCGTGCTGCTACTGGCACCCAGTGAACTGAGGCCAGGCGTGCTGCTAAATATCCTACAATGCACAGACAGAGCTGCAGGAAAGAATCATGTTCACAGTGCCATTTAGACACTCAGCCGGAACACCCTGAGTAGCCCTCAGAATGCACCTATGTCTCCCTCATTCCCTAGGCCCTCCCTCTCCTCCCAGATGGGAAATGCACATTTAGAGCCTCCCCCAAACACCATGGCTCACCTCTCCTACAGAACACGGATGACCTTTGGGACAAGCTGTTCAAAGAACAACAGGACACATGTTAGCTAGTGAGTCTCCACCAAATGACCTATGTGGGAAGGGGAAGTTGCCCATGTCCTCATGATCTCACCAGAAGCCTTGAGCCATGCCATCAGCTAAGTTTACTTGACATGTCAAGTAAGCTGCAGCTCAGTGAACACATGTCATCAGTGAAAAGTGTCTGCATTTAGCTTTCTACCACAGAGAGAGGTTAGATTCCAGACACACCAGGGGTAACTTAGTGGCAGGGGGGATAGTGTTTTATATCTTTCTATTCTCTTGGATTTTTTCCTTTTATGGCAAGAGAATGATTTAGACCAACTTAAAAAAAAATAGTTTTAGAAGGTTACTTGCTCAAGGCAACAGCTTAACTCACATAAAGTCAGGGGTTATATGGTGTCTCCCAGGTCCAGACTACAGGAAGCTCTCTCTGGGTCAAAAACCCCTGGATTGTGACTGGGCTTTGAATGAGCCTCAGCATGGTCCCCAGGTCCCCCTTATTCCAAATGGCTTGTTCTGCCGAGCAACAGTGCATTCCAAAGGGTCTTGTCCCATGACTATGCAGGGAAATGATTTGGTCATCTAGCCAGCCAAGTCTGTGGCCCTCGAATCACCACGAGGAGGCAGGTGACATGGGCCTTCAGCAGAACCTTGTGAAGCCAAGTCCAATCTCATGTCTGGCATGGCCGCAGGCTGACCTTCCAAGCTGAGAGGAGTGAGACCCTTCCCCTTACACCGATACTCACTGTACCAGTGGACGCCTTCCAGACCCTCCCACTTCTGGGTTTGAGCCAGCAGGTCTTCAGGCATCGTTGGAAGAAACGCATTCTGAAAGACCAAGAGCAGAAGTGGCCCTGCTGAGTGGGCCTGTGGGCTGCAGCTGCTGCCCAGCAAGAGGCACAGAGTGAGGAAGTTTCTTCTCAGCAGCTCGAGAGCTGTTTACAGAGGATGAACAAGAGCTCTGTGTGAAACGGCAAAGGGTAGGGCATGTTTTTACCAGGACTGTGCTGAAGGATCAAGTGGGGCAATGGGGCAGAGAATCTAGAAGATGGACAAGTCGGAGAGTTCCCACAGCCACAGGCTGAAAAACCCCTGAAGTTTCACTGTGAAACCAAAGTCATCATCATGCAGCTTACCGCCATGCTGGCTGGGGAGAAGGCCAAGTTCCTCAGGGGCACCAAGACTTTGCTCTGTCCACACAGAAGGACAGCCGCAGTGTGAACGGCCATTTCTGTCACTGTTCCTTCAAGGCTGTCAGCACCAGGGCCCGCGCTCAGCAAGGGCAGAGTGTTGGCCACGAGGGATGCTGCGAAAGGCCTAACCCCCGGAGGAGACAGGATCTTGCTGTCCTCAATGAACCTGCTCACAGCCTCGCATTGCTGGCACGAAAGACGTTTTTCATGTTAGAATATGTCAAAGAAGAATACTGTGTGAACTTAGGGTTTTCTCTTTGAAAGTCACATATTTCGATACTGAGTGCACATCAAATATCAAGGTAAATATATTTAAAGGATTATAATGGAGGAGAAATTCTTCAGGTAAGAGAATTTTCATATAGAAACACAGCAACCACATTCCTGAGTGCAGATCTCAACACTCTGTTTTGATAAACATTAGGTAATGTTCCTGAGACTGTAAGATTTAGGTTTAACAGAAAATAGTTCTTCCACATAACAAGGGTACACCCTCTATCCTAGATAGGAAATTATGGAAGGTCATAATTCCTATTATCCTGATAGGAAATAAAAGTTTATGACTTTTACTGTGCTCAGAAAGTCCCTCCTAATCATGAGACTGAACTCAAGCCCCAATGTGTCACTCACCTCCGGCTTAGGGTGGAGGTTCGAGTTGTGGGAGCAGTGGAGAGCAGCCACTTCTCGGAACAGCGCCAGCAGCAGGTAGACGGCCTGTTGAGCTCCGGGGCTCCTGCAGGCCTGCGGGTGGGGTGTGGAGCGAGCACTCAGAAGCTACACAGCGCTACCTGGAGCAACCTTCCCTGGGCCACGCACCATGGCTCTCCACGCACATGACTGGGGCTATGAGTTCATGAGACATGCTCAGGTTAACCTCAGTGCACAAGGGCCAGGCAGCCATGATGGAGAAACAGAAGTCAGCACCTGTTCTCCTCCAACTACTTCACAGGTCTTGGAAATGTTTCCTGAGAGGTTTTTCTATTTCCTCTTTCCAGCATTAGGCCCAGATAAACTGGGACTCAAAAAGGAAGCAAGACCAGAACAATTTAAAGATTAGAATCCTGGGGCTGGGGTTGTAGCTCAGTGTTAGAGCTCTTGCCTAGCATGTGTGAGGCCCTGGGTTTGATCCTCAGGACTGCATAAAAAGTAAGTAAATAAATAAATAAATAAAGGTATTGTGTCCATCTACAGCTAAAAATATTTTTAAAAGATTAGAATCCTAAATCCCTGTATCAACATCAAAATAGACACATAAGCATATATGTGGATTGTGAATCCATACAGCTATGGATTTTGCTAATTGTCCTGACATCTTTCACTTACCAGGGAGACCATGGGCATCTGGCATATAGTGTCACTCTAGGGGCTGTTCAGAGGCCCTCTCCACCACACCGGCATCCTTTGACATAACCAAGGTCAGGGGGCCACCTGCATCAGGGAGGATCTTTGAGCCCATCCTACCATCAGAGCAGCCTCGAGGCTGGAGGCCTTGCACTCGAGCATGGCTTTGCCCACTGCGTCACGAAGTGCCTTGTACTTGTCCCCATGCACCAGGTATTGGTCCATCTGGCCCGTGTGGTCTTTCTGCAGCTCAAAAGAAAAGGGTTAGTCATGGTGGAGCGGGTTGAGGTGTTCTGCAAGGCCCATCTCCATAGGCTAAGAAAGACAGCAGACACCACTGGAGGCTGGAGGTAGCTCAGCTGGGACTCGCTGTAGGGTCCAGGCATGACAGTCCTGGGAGTCTTCAGGAGCACGGCTTCCACAGGGTCGGAGAGCCCAGGGAGGAGGGAGGCTGACCCTGGAGCTTCTTGCTTTCTCTACACATGGCACCACCCCAAGCGAGGTGACAAAAACATGTCATCTCTGAGTCCCAGTTGGTCATATTAAAGATGCCAGGAGCTGCAGTGCCATATTTTTTAACCCTAGGACAGTAAGAATTTTCAAATTTTTGAGCACTGGGAACAGGGAAGCCCGAAAGCCAAACTCATTACACTTGTCTCTCAATTGTACCCACCTCTGCCTGGCAGAGAGCACAAGTCACAGCCTGCAAGAGGTCACCTTTTAATTTACTGGAAGCAAATATTTAAGAAAAATACTCATTCACTTTCCCTGAAGTGAAGCCTAGATAAAATGCAGGTGAACAACGAACCAGAAACACACACAAGTGTGCACACACATGTGTCCATGCCTACCTTTGCCCTATAGCAAGTGGCCTAAACCCACCCTGAAGCAGAGACCAAGGACCAGATGCCTGCCTGTGTCCTGCCTGTCGTAAGGGCTGGGAGGGTGAGGAGTAGTGCCCATAGCTGGCCCGCTCTGCCAGAGACCTGCGCCTCACCTGCTGTGCAATGACTCCCTTGGGAAACACCCACTGGCACCGATGGCCCTCCCTGGAGAGGCTTTTCACAAATTCCATCCCACGCAGGCTCGCGAGCCTCCGGACCAGGTACACGCGGTGCCAGTCGTTCCCTGCCTGGGTGCAGAACTGCTGGACGTGCC